GCTACTTTCTCGCGTTCAGCGTCAAGTTCATTTTGAATGAGCTTGGCGATAGTAGCATGTTGGGCATCTCTATTGAGAGCCTCTAGAATGACGCTAACAGCATGGATGCCCATGGTCGAACCCATACGTTCAACCGCATCCCATTCGACATCGCTCAAATGGGAGTAGCCGTCACGCGTAGCGTGAAAGCTTTGGTCATCTTCATCATCCAACATATTCATGTTGGATGTGAACGCGGTCCTTGGACGGACTACGAAGTGCTACCAGGTGTAACGGGGCACCCTGAAGCTTGTACTGGTGACAGTACAAGCTACTTATTCTGATAACAGAATAAGGCGGTGCCTCGTAACTTCACGTACACTCGTACGTGCAGAGGAAGACGGTAAGAAGAAGCGAGTACTTGGTTAGAGTAAAAAGTAGAACTGTATTTATAATAGTTAATGTCTGCAATAAATCACTATTTATCTTCATCTAACTATGTCTAAATACAAATGTGTAAATCAGTTATCTGCTCACCACTCATTGCGTGCGTCTGTCGTGGCGCGTCTTCGTTGGTTGATATAATGGCCTATATCAACCAATTAGGAACTACTTGTAAGTGCTACAGAATATTGTCCTTATGACAATATTCTGAGAATATAACTCCTATAGTTATATTCTATTAACAATTACGTATAAATTGTTATGTAACGATTCACCCCGTTACAGATACTTTTGCACACGGTTGGCCAAACCTCGATGGAAAAGCATGTAGAAGCTGCGCTCGGTTCAAGCAGCACAGCGTCAGTGCGAACGTCAGGTAGGTGTTTCTGTGTGGATACCTGTTATGTGCGGTGCAGTGGTTGGACGCACTTCTACGATGCATGTTCGTAAGCTAGATACCCCTGCGTTTGAGTCGCCTTCCCGAAATTGAACTATCGGCAGTGCAATCGACAAAGGAAACCAGGTAAAGTAGTAGCCGCGTCTTCCTATTAAAGGAATCGATATCGGTGTCGTTCTCGATACATCTTGGTCTGCCTTCAGGTCGATATGCTGCGAGACGTCGCATCTTGCACCGAAGTCTCAGGCTCGCAACTATCGCATTCGCCTGTCCCGGTCGTTTCGTACACTGTGTCTGTTTGGCGTCAACAGGCATGCGTATCTTCCCCTAGGATGCCTTGTGCGGCAGGTGTTCACCGCTCATACAAATGATGAAACCGCCTATGATTCCATCCACTTGACTCGACGCTCGGTCAGGATTGCACGTCTGCTTGCTTCATCATTCTGCAATTTGCCAAGACCATCCCAGCATCCTCACCACCTTCACACTAGCCATCCCTACGATGAAACTCCTCGTTTGCCTCGTCCTTGCTGCTGTTATGACTGCGACGACCGTTGGACATCATCATGTGCACCATGACGGAGGTGGCATCGGCCTCCGTGGTGGAGTCGCTGATATCGCAAGCGATGATTCACATCATATCGTCGATAGTGTTTTGGGTGGTTTTGGTGGAGGTGGTGCACTTGTTGGACGCCCCGAAAGTATGGAAGCCAGGAATCGAAACAACCGCATGAGGGACCATTAGGCTCTCGCCCAAGATCCGCCTGCAAGATTCATCCGCCGAGATCTGTGCCCGAGATCACTTTGGGCGGAGTCGATGTCGGAAGGCAAGCTAATCCCCATCCTGTTCCGTGAAGCAACTTTATCCACTGCACCGAAATCAAGCTAGAAGCGTGCCGATGTAGGATAGCGAAGGGGTAATGCAACGTCAATGTAGCTCGCTCCAACAAATCGATTCTGGCTTCTGTACCCCCATGATTATGTCCCTCTGATTTCTGTACTTCCATGACTTTGTACACTCTTGACTCATGAACCCCCAGGCTTCTACTGGATGTAACAACATGAGCATGCCCATGCGCCAGACTTAACACACGATGCTCGCTCGGATACGATGGATGCTTGGATGTCTATATCTGAGTACCTTTCCGACTTCGGACAAGGTTGGGGGAGTTTTGACCAAGAAGTCGGAGAGTGCGCCGGCGGAAATGTGAGTCCTGTGCCTTACGTACGTCAGGCATTACGGAGTAGTATGCACATGTCGGCTTTAACACCAACTGAGCAGTATGCGTTACAAAGACCACTGCTTTCATCCGGTAAGTGTCATGGATATGAACGTGGATTCCGTCTACTGCAGTTCTTTGTAGAACGATAATCTAACGAGCATTCGAGTCATGGTTCTTATTCGTCGCCCGCCGGGTACGGCGTATGCAGCGTCTTTCTCTCCAGTCTTTCGTCTTACAAGGTACAGATGCCAGCTCGTAGCTTGCGTTTCTGAAGTAGACGCTGCATCCCGTCTCTTAACTTGGACGCAAATGGATCGCGTTGGCCCCGCGAGGTTGGTCCACGCACGACTTGATGTGTTGGTGTGTCCTTTACTGGTCTACGTCCTTGTGTTTTCTTTTATCGATGCTAACAATGAGGTCTCCGCGTCTGTTTGTTGACAAAATCACCGACAGAGCGTCATCGAGAGTTCCTTTGTAACCTGCTCGCTGCACTGTTTGCCACATGTCATTCCCGAAAGGATGTACTGTATGGCGTCAAGACAACACAACGGCGTCGTCGTCGTCAATCATGGACATGTGTAAAATACGTGTATTCGATGATCGCGAAAAAACGATGTCGTTTGCAGTCGCCTGATTTGTTGTTACGAAGAAGCACGAGTGTGTTCTACGCCATGTCGCGACACTCTTCGAGACCGCGAGTATTTCGATCCTACAGTCGACGAAATGCCAGACCTGCACCATTGTGAAAAATGACGGACGGCGGTGACGTGATTCCACACGTGATGCAAACGTGTAGCGGTCCGTGGAGCGATGTGCAAGTGCATTGTCGTCGTCATCGCGCGATCCGTAGCATTGTGATCGACGACGTGGACACAGAAAGATAAGGTCATAACAGCGCTAACTGTTTGCAGCCTCACCTGAAACACTCCGTACGCTCGAGATACATATCGATGTGGTCATTACAACGTAAAGCACCAACCGTCCGTACGCAATCGTGTGAACGAAGACTGCAACTGATGCATTACTTCAAACGATCAGTTCAGTCGTTGCATTACGTGCTGAAAAGGCATTACGAAGATTAGGAGAGACTGAGTCGTGGGCATGGTTGTGGTATCTGCGGGTGATGGTAAGACAACTTCAGAAAATGAGATTGCTGGTGCTAAGATTGGTGGTAAGGTTTCTGACTAAGCACCTACGAGACCAACAAGCCTTGCACTGAGCTCCAGTTGCGGGTATTGTGACCAGAAGACTATGGATCAATCTGCAGGTGCACGATTCAATAAGCACTCCTTTGCTTTCGTGCATTCTTTTTGCAGTTATTCGCATGTTCATGCTTGCGCGAAGACTATGCTGTTTCAAGCGAGTCGTGGCGGGACACGCACGACAGACAGCAGCTCCCGAGCGCATTTGTGACGCAACGGGCGACCGGGTGGAGCTGCTGGCTCAGCTGAGCATATTGTCCACCAGTCACCAACAGCTGAATACAGCTTTATCTGCACTTTATGATGGGGCCTGTCCGCAAGGTGGCTGACACCGCGGACGTACCACTGATGGCACACCTGTCGCTGTCTGATTACTGTTACTCATTCATTCTCCTATCGTTTTCTGCTACAGAAGCGTGGTACGGCATCGACGTTTGGTGGTAAATGCAGATAGGCCTGCCCGAGCCGCGACACTTTCCTGGCATCAACCCAAGTTCCCGGACTGGCAAAACGCTATGGCATGGATGCATAAGGTGTGGTTGGCGGGGAATAGTCACGACTCCGAGGATCTTCAAGGAACAGTCAAGTGGCACCATGCATGTTCGACGGGGTAGCGAGGGGTGGGGTGTAAATCAACACGGAAGTCCACAGCTACATGGGTACATCGTGAAAAAGGCAGGCCCGTAAGCATCAAACTGAAACTGCTGCATTGTCAGTGTTGAGGACACACAATGCAGTGCTGGTCTTTGACACAGATCTCGCACCCGACTTAGCAGAGATTGAGATCCATTGGCGTATGCTGGGCTAGCGATAATGTGTGAAGTACGTCGAGAGAGGAATGGAGGTCGCTACGGCCATTGATGCTGGCTGACAGCTTCTGCGTTTCGTGATTGCTCCAGACCTTGTCTGTCCTGTTTGCATCTACTAGAAACAAGCTTCATGGATTTAATACGAAACGACAATGAGGGTCACAGATCAATTTATCACGTCACCGATATACTATTGACTGGGGCTTACCGTGAAATTACTTTCAATAGTTTGTTTAAGTATGGTATAGAGTAGGTAAGTAAACTGGCCTGGATCAAATCCTTCGTAAAAAAAGCCATTACATATTTTAGCATAATATGTAATGGGTTACCCTTTGTCCGGGTGCCACGAAACTTCACGTACACTATTTGTAACGGGGCACCCTCAAGCTTGTACTGATGACAGTACAAGCTACTTATTCTGATGACAGAATGAGGCGGTGCCGCGTAACTTCACGTACAGTGGTACGTGCAGAGGAAGACGGTAAGGAGAAGCGAGTACTTGGTTAAAGTAAAAAGTAGAACTGTATTTATCATAGTTAATGTCTGTTAATAAACCACTATTTATCCTCGTCTAATTACGTCTGAATACAAATGTGTATATCAACTATCTGCTCACCACTCATTGCGTGCGTCTGTCGTGGCGCGTCTTCGTTGGTTGATATAATGGCCTATATCAAGCAATTAGGAACTACTTGTAAGTGCTACAGAATATTTGTCCTTATGACAATATTCTGAGAATATAACTCTTATAGTTATATTCTATTAACAATTACGTATAAATTGTTATGTAACGATTCACCCCGTTACATCACCCCCCCCCTTAACCATCAGTCACTTTAGTGACTGATTGACTTAATGTATACTCGTCCCAAATCATTTGGGACAGGGTTTGCACTTGTTGGTCCGAGTCCACTTTCCAACAGTTCATCGCATGGTAAACAAGCCCATGCGGTGCGCGAACAAGGCCGCCGAGAGCGCGTCCGCACGTCTCTGTGCGGACGCCGAAGCAGAAACCGCAGCAACTGATGTCTCATCGGTTGCTGAAGCGACTCAGCCTGTGTCACCTGGTGATGCAGGCGCTCGTCATGAAGACACTCATGTCTTCACAGAGTATGAGCTCGGTGTCTCAAACTCTCCTGATACGGATGACGGATCCGTATCGACGGCGATTGAATCCAAGCCGCCTGCCAAGCGTGGCATGGATGATGCTTTGCGTCGTAGCATCTTTGGTTCATCTGATGAGTCAGATGAACCATCGCCAAAGCGAAGGCGCTCGAGGTCGCGAGACTCGGGCGCTCATAGTGGTGTCGTTTCTCCAATGGACACCACTTCGCAACGAGGTGCCAGTACTTCTGTCGGCACGTCGCAGGAAGAGCGGGAGCATGGCTGCCTCCTAAATCTGTCATGGATCGCTTGTCGGCGACGACAAGTGATCGCTATCGAACACGATTGTTCGATTCGTCAAGGATCCATCACCTTGACCCCAGCGCGAAAGACTATCGCGCTGAGAATGAATTCTTCATCGATGCTTTCTTTAGACATCGATGGTACAGTGGGAATCACAAGCGTGATGGTCCCTCACTACTTCAAGCCTGGAACGCCTAAATCCATAACCTTGAGGATGTAGGTCGTGACGCTTGGAACGACAAACTTATCAAAGCTCGTGATAAGTTTGAAAAGCGAACCCCGACAGGTGCACGCTACAAGCTGCATCGTCTGTCAAGGGAGAAGGGATTACTCTGCCTCTCTTGGGGAGACTCGTGCCCATGTTGTGTGAACAACTCTGCACGAGCACCTAAGGAGGCTTACCTCTCTACCAGCCCGTGGTGGCGTGTACGTATCTCTAGTGAGATGTACGAAGGGATTGACAACCTGAAATCCCTTTATGACCGTGCCGGAAAGACTTTCTCCGGCGGTCCTTCTGCGGCACAGGATGTACCGCATCGTACTGCTCAACCAGACCCAGTACGTCAATCGTCAGTTGGGAGCGGGGCTCCCAAGGACCCCAGCATGGGGGATAGCCGCGACACCGGATGAGGTAACTCGTCCGACGTCCGTTCACATCGCGGTGGTTCAACAGCTGCTCAACCAGATAGCGCTGGCCACCGCGAGAGTCCCCTAATGGAGGTGGAGGAGGAGGGAAAACGCTCTCCAAACTATCTTGTGGGGAAGCGTGTATCCCCGAGAGCTTCTTTGATCGCGTAACGCAAGGGTTACGCGGCGATCTCGAACATGAGCGGGACAGGCGTCTTCTACTGGCGGACACTGTCTTGAAGCATCGAGCTGAGTTTGCCTTTGCTCATCTTGAGAACAAGAGAGCTCTGACGTCTCTTCGTGACGAGCTAAGGGTAGCTCGTGGGATCGTTGATCGGTCTCGGGATGAGATAATTGCTCTCCAGACCCTTGTCGATGCCCACCATCGGGAGCACAAGGCTCTCTGCGAGATGCTTGAGCGCAAGGGCGTTCTTCATCGGAAGAAGCAGCGTACTGATGGTGCGGCTTAAGCCGACCAACGTAAAACGTGGGATGCGTTCGCATCTTGCGTGGCAACTCGATCGTGTATGCATTGCCTAGGCGGTGCAATACACGAAATGGGCCAATGTACTTGGGTAGAAGTTTACTGCTACCCAAGTTAGTCACTACACGCTTTGGTAGATTATCCGTAGACAGTAGGACTAAGTCACCTTGATTAAATAAAAGAGTGTTTGCCCTTCCATTCTTGTCTGCGTTTTGCTTTTGCTTATCCACCGCTTCGGCGATGGAGTCTTGCACAAAACGGACTACCGTTTCACGAGCCAGTATGAATTCATCTGATGACTCGTTAGATTCAGTGCACTGTGAGTGCACTGCAGCAACATCAATCTTTTCTTCAGTGAGGGCTTCCGCACTCTCACTGGCATCATCTTCTTCGATATCGATGCTATCGATATCGGCATCAAATGCACTGACCTCTTTGTCAGAGCGTGATGAGCGTGAACCAAATCGGTTTTTGCTCGCACGAGTCTCTCTCCCCCTTAAACTAGAGTTACACTCGAGTAAGGTGGGTACACGCGAATGGCGCAAGCCATTCACGTAAAACGGTGTATGTGTAGTGGACGCATGCACCGAGTTGTTAATGGCAAAATCTACCATGCGCAAGAACTCACTCCAACTCTTAAAGGAGTGTACGTATCCTCAAAGTATCTCTTCAAGGACAAGATTGGCACGTTCCGTCTGACCATCTGACTCTGGATGATCAGGTGCAGACATCTTCAAGCGCGTTCCGAGTGATTTGAACACGGAACGCCAGAAATCAGCAGGGAAAGCGTGGATCTCTGTCTGATACGAGTTCACGGGGCAACCCATGAAGTCGGAAGATGGTGTCGATAAAGACACAAGCACAGACACTTGCTGTGATTGACTCGAGTACAGCCACAAGGTGTACCATTTTGCTGAATCTGTCAACAAATACAAGAATACCCGTATTCCCGCGTGCGTCTTTGGGTAACCCGAAGACGAAATCCATTGAGATGGATTCACAGCACTCAGCCGGAACCGGTAGAGGCTGTAAAGGTGCACGCAGTGAAGGACTTGACTTCACTCGTTGACAGACTTCGCATGCGCGAACGTACTTTCGCACAAACTGATACTGGCGGGGCCAGTGAAAGTCTCGACTCACCGTGATAATTGTTTTCTCCCGGCCACGATGTCCTCCTATAGGAGCATCGTGATACTCGAACATGATCCGCAAACGCAGATCAGTATCATCTGGGATGACAACACGTGGTGTGTCACCAGAAACGGCTGTATAATACAGTAAACCGTCGCGAGTAGTGTATCGATCTGATGCAGATCGATACGCAGACGATAATCGTTTCAACGATTCTCAAGATGGCTGTGAGAGATGTGTCAACAACTTCACAATCTCACCATCTTGGGCGTATGCCCGCCTCACATCATCATGTAACGTTGAAGATGGGACTGAGGACGTCATAACCGCAACAGTGGCTGTCTCACTGTTGGGTTTCACGACTGTTTCAAAGTCGGGCCGACGTGAAAGTGCATCAGCGACGACATTAAGTCGTCCTGGTTTGTACTCGACCGTAAAGTTGTATTCTGCAAAGAATGACAACCACCGCGCCATTGGTTGTGAAAGGTGCGGGCTGTTTGCTGCCGTGCGTAACGACGCATGGTCAGTGTAAACAATGAAGGGTCTATCTCCTAATAGATAGACTCTGAAATTCGCGAGTGCATACTTCATGGCAAGGAATTCCTTGTCATGCACTGGATAGTTCCGCTCAGCTGGTTGCAGCTGACGCGACTGATAGCAGACGACGCGTTCAACGCCTTCAAGATCGTACTGCATTAATGCACAGCCGATTGCGAAATCGCTGGCATCACAGACCACATGAAATGGCCTGTCCTGATCGGCTATTGCTAGGACTGGGGATTGTATCAAGCTCTGCTTGATACCCTCAAAGGAGCGTTGACATTCAGCGTTCCATAACCACCTCTCGTTCTTTTTCAACAAACGAGAGAGGTGCACAGTCATCTCGGCGTAATTGCGTGAATACTTATGCAAATACGCCGCTAGCCCAAGGAATTTTCGAAGACCTTTGACATCGACCGGCACAGGCCAGTCGGTGATCGCCTTGATCTTTTCGGGATCAGGACGTACACCGTTCTTACCTACGATGCACGCAAGAAGTGGTATTTCGCTTGCTGCGAATATACACTTCTTGAGGTTTGCATACGATTGATGCTTTCGCATGATTGTAAGAACCTGTCGGACATGGTATCTGTGAACCTCAACGTCCTACTTTCCATCCATAGCCCTACTATGGATGAATACGTCATCGAAATAACTCGGTGTGAATTCTCGTACTGGCCTCAACAGATGTGATACACATCTGTTGAACGTGGCAGGGGCATTACTAAACCCTTGTGGCATTACTAGCCATTCCCAGAGCATGCCGCTAGGCGTGCTCACTGCGGTATTAGGTATATCCCGTTCTCGCATAAGGATTTGATAGAAGCCATCCATCAAATCCATGGACGAAAAGATGGTACTCTTTGACATATCATCAATGATTACGTCCTTCCTTGGTACCGGCGTCTGAGCCGGTACCGTTGCAGCATTCAACTTGTTAGTGCATGCACAACGCCACCCTCCTGTTGCTTTTCTCACACAGAAGATCGGAGAGCTATATGGGGGAGTTGATTCCCTCACATGGCCCGCAGCTAAACGATCGGCAAAGAACTTGTCGATCGCAAGTACTTGTTCACGAGGCAGTGGCCACTGCTTCATGACACAGTACTTCGAGCCTGGTTTAAGCTCGACCTCGTGTCGAATACCTTTATCCTTCGGTAATTCGCACGGAACAGTTTCAGGGAATACATCCTTGAATTCAACCAAATCTTCATAGAGAGGATTTGTCTTGAGCGATCCCACGATTGGGAGTCATATCGCTCAACTCGTGTCTTTTCATCGAGGACACTCTCGTCCATAGATGAACTACTGAGAACTCTCTCGTTCTCAGTAAACACTGTTGCTGACCTTATGTCGGCTACACACTCGTCGTAAGCGACGAGTACGCAGATCTGCTTGACTTTACCACTACGCAGATCACGCAAGAACCTTTTATGTTCGAGCGTTGGCAACTGAGTGATCTCCGAAGTCAACTTCGGAGGCGCAATCAGATCAAGTGTATAAGCGCCTACACTTGATCCGTCATTGACTATGACATTCAGTGTCTCTGTCATTTCCTGGGGACTTATTCCTTCGGCTTCCCGGGGACTTATTCCCGCGGGTTTCTGGAAACTTATTTCCGCCGTATCTGTAATATTGGGACTTATTCCCTGAACTTTCTCTAGCTGTGGCTGCGCAACCACAGCGAGATCCTCTACAAAAGACTCTCCAGTCGATCTAGGATTATCGTTTCGCTCAACCTGAGCGATCGATTGTTTCGCTTCTAGATGTTCCCCGCTAGGGATACATCTTTGTCCCGGTCCACTCGACTGATTCGAGTGGTGGACCTTCGGCGCAGCCTGTGTTTCCTCACAGCCGCCGGAACTTTGCTCCGAAGTGTAACCGTTTGTTACACTAAGGTTTTGTGCAGTCGTACTAACGACCGTTCCACAAGTGAGGCCATCGCACCCACTCGTAGTACATTCACACGCTTGTGGGCGCTCCAAAACGTTCATCAGATGGCCATCTGATGAACAAGCGGCAGGCATCGTTACTGTTCGATGTTGCCAGTTTACTCGTGGTTCGTACCTTCTGAGCCACGGTATTCCAAGGATGACATCAAATTTGTCATCCAAATCCAATACGATAAAGTCATCGTCATATTGGGTATCTTCTAGCGTATAGTGGATCTTCACCATACGCTTCATGACGGTTACGGATGCGCCTGTCGCAAGGCGTACCGTCATCCTCGTAGGAGGTGTGTCACATTCACCAGACTTAAAGTGACCATCTTCTAGCTATTGGCGTTGCACAAAATTGTTGGACGCCCCACAATCGACTAGAGCTCGAAGGGACAACTTATTCGTCACTTCGAGTTTCAAGGTGATGAGTGAGATCTCATTACCTAGAGCAGCAACGCACAATGTTTGTGTGTTGGGAGCAACCTTCATCAAGAGGCCTACAAATTCTCTTGACGTTGCTGGATCAGTAGGGTGCTCCGCACCTACTGATCCTGTCCGTTTTTTGACGGTCCATCCCGTTGTTGCGTCTTTGCACCAACAGCGGACCCTCGTCCCTGCCCCTTTCTCATGGGTGGACGGTCACTACGCCCAGTGTCGCGAGACACTGGACGAGGGGCACTACACTCGTAAGCGTAGTGTCCTGTCTTTTGACATCTGTCGCATTTATGTAGCTTCTTGTAGTCTGTAGAGCGAGCCTTCTCGCTCTCTACATAACAGAGTTCCATCGGCTCTGGGCCTCCGTTGTCATATCGTCTCTGTTGACGATATGATGTCGAGCTGGCGCGAGCCTGTATCATACTGAAGTCTTCCTGTTCCGCAATGGAAATGGCTTGTTCTAGTGAATCTAGTTCAAGTCGGAACAGGTGAGTCTTGACGGGGCCATGCGCAAGACCCTGCATGAACATCGAAACCAACGTGTGTTCATCAACCGGGATGGAACTTATACAACTCGTGAGATGTCGTATATGTTGCGCGTAAGCATGCACATCACGCTTACCCTGTTTAAGCTTCAAGAGTTCGGTTCGAGCTCTGAACTCAGCTCTAGGCGGTTCAAAAGTTTGTCTGAGCCGCGACTTGAAGACTTCCAACGACCCAAACGCATATGGGTCGTGCAACTTGAGCCCCAAAGCCCAAGTCTTGGCACGTCCTGCCAGATTTGACTGGGCAAATGCAGCTTGCATATCCCTGTCGTCGATTCGACGCGCCCTTATGGCGTCATCCAATTCGACGAACCATCTCAAGAGGGAGTCCTCTTCGACTCCCCTATGCTTGGAGATGTCAATCTTCAAGGTCTCGGATCGACGCCAGTGCATCA